GCAAAAAGTCCGCGTCTTTAAATAATTTATTCCTCGTTAAAGCAGCCTAGTCGTATTAATTCACGGAACAACTAGTTCTAGTGTGTACGAATTCAAGTGTAGCTATTTACAACACTTATAAACGTATCCATTTTGCCAATTTAATAATTAGTTTCGTCTTAGTGTTGTTGGCATGCTCTTGATTTCTGTAAACAGTCACGTGACGGCTTTTCTATTGTCTCCGTCTGGTATTTGTAATTGTTAATTCGATTTTCGAAACCATAGTGAAAATATTTCGGTTTCTCCGTGGTGGAATAGATAACGTCTTTTGGAGCCATGTCAGTTGAAGATCCACGACAGCCTCAGTGCTATTTTGAGAAGGTCGCAAGCATTTTAATGCGGTTAATAAGTTTAGAAGTCGAAAGACGTTAACAAAATACAGTCGATATACGCACGCGGTACAATAAGTCATTAAAAAAAAATGTTTGTTTGGTACAAAAACAATATAAATTTTTATGGAGCAGCAGCGCTGATTGATTAATAGGTTCATATCTAATCATCTAACACGTATATTAAGGATGTTTCCTGAAATATTTATGTATAGTCGCTTTCAGTATTTCACACTTCAGAGCAATAACCCTTAAGTTTCGGTTTTCACAGCAGCGGAGCGTTTTGTTTTTGTTTATTAACGCCATTCCGCGGCGTTAACAGCCGCCAAAATGCGTTTCAGATTTTGCATTTATCCTAACAAAGAGAACTACGAATACTCGAGCAAATCGACTTTTTTTTATCGCACAAAACGATTTTTCAGGCACACGCTGCCAAAAATCGCCGAAATTAAAATAAATTCGTGAATATAACACTTCTGCATTTTAAAATAAGCAAACTGTTTTCAAAGTAATTGCACGGTTTGGTCCAAAAGTATGGAGAAATAATATTCTATACCATTTTTTAAATAAAATATTTATTACGACGCAAAGCGAGTACAGGGTGTCTCAAAAATTTAAATAAAATTTGGGGCACGTGGTGTTAAATGGAATTTCTCTAATAAAAGTTTATTAGAAAAAAAAAGCTTTGTAACAGGAAAAAAATTTGGGTATGCTTCTGGAAAAAATATAATTAATGCCGTCATTAGTCGTTTCTGTCAAAGCCCAAAGATAATACATTCGATTGAAAATGGAGCTTACCTCATCCCATTTAGCACTACGTGTCCCAAATTGTATTTAAATTTTGTGCATCCCCACAGTAGGCCCATACTATTGAGTTTGGGACACCCTGTATATCCTGTACGGAGAGACAACTGGTGCTTTGAATTTATAACTAGGACACTTTTATTTTCGTCTTGTTTTTACGAACGTAAAAAGAACGGGGTAATTAGAGAAAGTCAGATTAAGATGACACTAGTAATGAGCTGGAGTCGACTAATATCGAAATAAAATCAGTACGGGCTGATAAACGGGCAACAGCTGTTCTTATTCCTACTAATCAAGGGTCCACGAAAATAGACTGGGTCTGCTTTGGCCGCAAATGACGTACAACAATTCCTGACTTCCTTCTTCTGCTAGATTTAACGTCGTTTTACATTTTTTTGTTACCCACGCAACTTGGTCAAGCATATGCGTTACGTAATATTTCACACACTCGGTATCGTGCAGGGGGTGTCTCGATTCGTTGTTGTGTGCTGGATGTAACTTCGTGGCGGCAAAGGAAAAGATTAAATTCGAAAAATGTAATTCGAAAGTGAAGAGAAATTTTATTCAACGATGCGTATTTTCTTCACGGATCAGTCTTGAGTTTGAGTTGAGTCTACGAGCTAATTAAATATTTAAAAAATTGGATTTTAACTTTAATTTCAACAATGCGACTCGAAACAGAAGAGAAATTATTTAAAAAATGTGTATTTTATGGCAATTGTCGATTAAATGCCAAATAAAAAGTACTTTTAATAAACTTTATTCGAAAGTGAAGCGAAATTATTAAAATATGTGTACTTTTTTCAAGAATCAATTTAGATGTACGAGCTGGTTAAAGAAAGAGATTATTTTAACATTAAGTTAAAACTGTTATTAGAAAGCGAAGCGAAATTATCAAAAAATGTATATACCCCTCACGAGTCAATTTTGCGAGTGAAGAGAAATTTTATTTAATGATGCACATTTTTTTCACTGATCAGTATTGAGTTTCAGTTGAGTCTACGAGCTTATTAAACATTAAAAATTGTATTTTAACTTTAATTTCAATAATGCGATTCGAAACAGAAGAGAAATTATTTAAAAAAATGTGTATTTTCTTCACGAATCAATTTAGATGTGCGAGCTGGTTAAAGAAAAAGATTATTTTAACATTAAGTTAAAAATGTTATTAGAAAGCGAAGCGAAATTGTCAAAAATTGTATATTTTCTTCACGAGTCAATTTTGCGAGTGAATTTAGATATACGAGCTGATCGAATGGCAAGAATTTTAACTTCAATTAGAAAAAAATGATTCGAAAGTGAAGAGAAATTTTATTCAACGATGCGTATTTTCTTCACGGATCTGTCTTGAGTTTGAGTTGAGTCTACGAGCTAATTAAATATTGAAAAAATTGTATTTTAACTTCAATTTCAATAATGCGATTCGAAACAGAAATGTGTATTTTCTTCACAAATCAAGTTTTTGTTCGGATTGAGATATATGAGTCGATTAAATGGCAGATAGAAAGAGTACTTTTAATAAACTTTATTCGAAAGTGAAGAGAAATTATTAAAATACGCGTACTTTTTTCACGAATCAATTTAGATGTACGAGCTGGTTAAAGAAAAAGATTATTTTAACATTAAGTTAAACATGTTATTAGAAAGCGAAGCGAAATTATCAAAAAATGTTTATGTTCTTCACGAGTGAATTTTGCAAGTGAATTTAGATGTACGAGCTGATCGAATGGCAAGAATTTTAAATTCAATTAGAAAAAAATTATTCGAAAGTGAAGAGAAATCTTCACGAACCGAGTTTTTGTTTGGATTTGGATATATGAGTCGATTAAATGGCAAATAGAAATAGTACTTTTAATAAACTTTATTCGAAAGTGAAGAGAAATTTAAGACATGTATTTTCTTGACGCGTCAATTTTGCGGAAGGGTTTAGATTTGCTAACCGATTAAATAGCTATAATCTGGCAGGGGTGAGTGAGAAAACTTAATTTAACTGTTCGTATAAATTTTTCATGTAATGCGTGTCAAACTGGCAAGGGGTCGGAACTGAGTTGTTTCCGAATGCCGTAGAAAATTTCCTGCCAACCTATTATCTTTGCAGCCACAATAAAAACACGCTTAAATATTCAGGGAAGGTGTTTAATTATTTTAATGACTTGATTGTGGAAGCGGAATAATAGTGTCTATCTCGTTAATATTTAATAAATCGCTGTGCTGTTTTAGAGATACCGCATTCCTCAAAAGAAATGACAAATACCAATACCGAATGGCGTTAATCAAATAGTTTATAAAAACAGCAGATTATTTACTAGTTATTTTTGCGCCATATTTTCAAATTTTGTTAATTCATTTTCGTAAAAAAGTTGTAAAACACAAAATTTGTTGGTGTCAAAATAGTAATTTACTTTTAGTCACTGATTTAATGTATCGAAACAACTGATTTACGTATAAAAAAATCATAAACACATTACACAGTGTGTTCAGGCTATTGGATAATCAGCAAAATCCTCGAATATTATTTTAAACGTTGAATAATGAAATTCCGGTGATCATTTAACTAATATTATACGAATTAATAAAAAATGTGAAATTGCTATGATTCCATTCCACTTTTCTATATTTCGTGTTCAACTTCCAGATTGAAAAGGTAGATAAACACGACTACGCGAAGCCATAGCCTACACGACTATGAAGGGCGAATTCAATCCAACAATTTTGTGCTATCTTCTATCATTTATTCTATACGTGGCATTTGTAGAGAAACGTTCTTTTTGTTGTGCTAATAGCATGTTGAACTAAAAAAGTCGGACACCTTATTTACGCTTTTGTCCTATTTTACTTTACCATTCTAATTAATACATATTGTGAAGTAAATAGGAAAAATAATAACTTTTACACTAGCAATTCTAAAAGATGGCCCAAAAGTAACGCATGATAAAACTGCGAAAGATTAGTTGCCAAATTTGATCAAACAGGTTCAGTAAATTAATTGAAAATAGAGCCCCTTTTTTGACTAACATGTTTACAGCATGTGACCCTGTTGGACCCCCATTGGAATGTCGAGTTTTCACTAACGTCGTTTTAAAGATTGGAAAAAGTTATATTAAGTAAAATATATATATTTGCGCAATAAAATACGGCCGGCTTAAAATAAAACGCGCCGACATTTTTTCTACCAAAATAAAAAGTAATTTTTCATATAAAAATTTTATTTTATTGGAATCCAGGGATATTTTACGTCTGTACTTATTTTAATGGTACTTGGCACAACATTAACCTGACATAACATGTTAAAGCTGCCAAAGATTTGTTTTTTTCGGTCTGCTACAATTTAAATTTAACGGATAGATCGTCTCCTGTACATAGTGACAAAATCACTTTTGCACCTAATTTACTTGAAGATTTCTCACTAATTTGTAGCATATTTCAGACTATTCAAATATTGCAGTACTGAGTATAATTTTGATACACCTAATCACGATTGTATGAGTCTAATATATAAATAAATAAATTATAATTTGTTTTAATGATTATTAATCCGTAAATAAACCCAGTTATATTGTCTTTTTATTAAAACACTGTTTGTTGTGTATTGTATTCTATTATTAAGACCATATCCATTTTACTTAGAAACTAAATAAATATTTTACAAAACGTAAACGGAAATGACATTAAAACAATATGTCTATTATAAAAAATCGATGTTATTAAATAAATTAATAAGAAATAAACAATTGCCCTCGTTGTAATTAGAAAGTTTGCAATTTTTTCAAAATTGAACTATTAAATATAAAATAATTGTTTTTAAAATTGAACAAATACATTTTTACACTAAAACGCGTTGTCAAAGCCAATAATGTCGTTTATTCTCTTAACTATACCATTTCTCGTTGCCTCGTTACTATACCAATCCGAATACGGCAGTTGGTACTGACCACCGGTTGGAGGACCGTACGCTGGTTTTGGAGGTCCGTAAGAAGGTCTTGGTGGTCCATAGGAAGGTCGAGGGGGACCGTAGGATCCTTGAGGTTCACCTTGTGGCGGACCGTAAGTGATGCTTATTCCTTCGTTGCCGTTGGACGGGCCATAACCTTAACAGAAGAGATGCGATTAAGATCAAATTTTCCGATGATGATTCTACTAAAAATTTTATATACTTACCATATCCGGTTGCATTTGTGGAGTTTGAAGTGGTGGTGGAAGTCCCAGTAGTCGTCGTGGTACCGGTGGTAGTGGTGGTAGTGGATTCAGTGGTCATACCGCTCGTTATCACTGTTTCCGTTGGTGTGACGGTTTGCCTCTGTCTCAGTATAACGATCTGAGTTATTGGATCGTAATCGTAGTCATCGTCGTAGTTACTTGCGATAGTGGTTGCCCTCTGTTGCTTCCTCCTGTTTTTATTTCTATTCCTGGGGTTTACAGTGGTTCTCCTTCGCTTTTTGTACGGTCTAGTGGTGAATTCATAATCGTAGTCGTACTCGTCTTCGTAAGAATCGACCGGTCTCTTGGGTTTCTGCCTATTCTTGGACCTGTACCTGTTGGTGGTGGTGGCATCTTCGTAGCTGTCGTAGTAGTAGTCAGGAGTCGTTGTTAACCTTCTGCGTTTGCCGGGGCTTCTTTTTTTTGGGGCGTGTCTGTTAGAAGCCCCTCTCTTAACGGTTTTCTTAGGCGTAAGCGTTGTATTGTCTTCAGTTACAGTAGTCGTTAGGTTTAGAAGGAGTGGCGCTAAATTAGACTCTTCGGCAATTGTATCTTCCAGATGAGGACTTTCAATGTTGGTGTTAACTACGTGGAAATCACCGCTATGGATTATTTCCGAGTTGCTGTCTTCAGTCGCAGGTTCGTTATCCACTTCGGTAGATTCATCATCAATTAATATCTCTGTAGGAGGGCGTTCGTTGATGTTGACGATCTGTTGCTGATTCGCAGGGGGGTAGGCGTCGATATGGTGATGGTGATGGATGTGTTGACCATCGTTATCTGTCGATGCAGAGTCTGGAGGTAGCGGGGGCCCGTAAGGGTTCTTTATTGGATGCCAATAATTGTAATGGTCGTTCTCGGTGAAGTGGTTGTTAGCTGGACTAACAGGACGCCACGGTACGGGCTCGTAGCTTAGACGTAAGGCACCTAAGGGAGCGTACTTCGCTATGACCGAGTTTGAAAGCAAATTCGCAAGTAACAGACCAAGCAGCGGGCCATATCCAAACCTAGGCTCTCGAAGGGACGTGTTATTAATTTTAACTGGAATAAATGGTAGAAAGTATAGTGAAATTAATTTAAAATTGAAACATGCTCTTAGTCTAAATATGTTGTCCAAGAACATGAGGATAAGGTGGCAACAACTACGAAATATTTTTTGAAATACTTACAATGTTCTGTTGTATTCAACTGCATATTTGCAACTAGCCTTAACGTAAGCTCGAGTGAGACTAAAATCTAACTGAAAGTATACGTGGGAAAGTTAAAACGGCGATATGCGGGTTATTTGCTAAAGTACCCTTATAATTTGTACATTTTGTAATATTTTTTCCCATTTTATCGCAAATAGTTTGTACATACGGATTTCCCTTCGCGTTGTTTCTTCCGCCATCTGTGAAGGTTCTGCTGAACTCAACGCGAGGCCTGTAACTTGCTAACAGCGCCATCTGTAGGTTACATCGCGTAGCGGTTATTTCAGCATAGTAGTTTACTCCTGTGTACCTCAACAAGTTCGATGTTACCGCTTTTACCTGATCATGACTTCCTCCTACCTAAGAAGATTTGTTATGGTGAAAATAGGAAATAGTATAAACCGATTAAATTATTCTGACAAGACACACAGATAAAGAATTACTCATATCTCTAAGTCATGTTTCTTTGTAAAATGTTTTTAATATTAATATTAATGAAACAAACATTCAAGACACAAATTCTTATAATAATAATTGATTGACTGACTTCATTTCCTGTTAAAAGAATACAGGCTTTTTTTGCTTCCAGTGGTGAAATTGTTTTTTAATTATTTTATTCTTTCGATTCTTCTATGGAGCCTTTTAGCTGGAATCGAGAAGAGGACACGCTTAAAACGCCAACACGATGTAAGATTACTCCGTAATTAGGTTATTTTTGCGCTGCGACATCAAAGATCAGAAAATTCTCGAATAAAAGACTCGATAGATCTTAGGTAATTGAATCTCTCTGATACAATTAACCCTTTGGAAAAGGGTATGTATGAATATTAAGCGCCGGAACAGTACGTTCGGCTTTTGTTGCTACTGTGTAACCTAAACATGTATCAGAATTACTTGAGTCGGTTGTACGTAAGACAAAGGACGAAATCACAAAGATACCTAATTGACTTATTTGTCGTACTCGGTTAATAACTTTGTGAGTTTAAACAGCTATTTTAAGTCCGTAAATTGTAAAAGGATCTGCGGTATTTCGAAAGTGTAGTAAAAACTTGATTATACGAATTATTGGTTGAAATCTCAAGAGTCTGTGATCCGAATGATGAAAAAACCTGAGATTGTTTGAAGAAACTAACCAAACAGAGCGGTTCATTTAATTAATTAAAAACAGCCAAGCATAAAACTTAATTAACTGAAAAACATTTCGAGTCTAAATGTTTACTTTTTTGGATAACCCCTAAGTGGAAATGAAATCAACGAAATCCTTTTATCTCTAATTCTATCCCATCATAGGGTGAGCGGTGAAAGTCGTCTCCCTAACCGATAATAAGGGCTGGCAACATTTTCACTAATATCGCAGCGTATTAGGGGTAATATAATATAGTAGCGAATGCCATCGTCTCTGATCGCAGGCTCAAAAATATAAAACTGCAGACACAGTTACAGTTTTAGTTGTTTATTGTATTTTTCACCTATCTTTCCGATTTTTAACTATTATAATTTATTATTTTCATTCAGCGCGCACTTGTGCTCCTTTCATTTGTAGACTTAGTCTACATTATTTAATAAACCCGATTCCGATAAAGGAATTAAACAAACAATAAAGGGTATCTTATCACCCAGTGATATCTCCTTTATTATACCATTTCAACGCCTAAGTTCCTGCTAGTGGCATTGTGACAGAAACAATATGTGATACCTCACATAATTCTGACAATGATCCACCCTACAGAACTTCTTCGAACTAATTCAGACGAGGAGCAGAATAGTTTTTCCGCTCCCGTTGGGAATTACTTAAATCAAGTGGACTGCGGGATCAGCGCCCTGCCGTGCTTGACGAAGTGCCTGAATTTGGAAAGGTGCGCGAAATTCGGCGTTTTCGTAACGGTTCTGTCACTAGTCGGACTCTTTCATGGTGCCATTTTGGTTTATTTTCGGGGTACGTCACATATATGGAGCGAACATTACAATATATCTCTGGAAACAGTAGGTAAGGTGATGTGACTTATTTAATGTATTCACGAATATGGGATGCCGCGCTGTTATCTAGGCATCGCATAAAATAGCTACATGTTTTTATTTCAGCCCATGAATCATGTATTGTTTGTTTAAAGTCACGTGTATAACGTTGCTTAGGTTATATCCAATATAAGTTATAAATCTTACTTGGAAAAGTGATAAAATTTCATCAACACGAATTCGAAAGTGACGTAAATATTGTCATTCCTTCATTTGTCGTTTGTAACATATCTTTTGCTTAATATTTAAATTATTCATTATTGTTATTTCAGACTTATTTGTAATTAGATTCCAGTTATTTTCAATTGTTTTTAATATACAAAGCGATTTCCTTTTAAATGTAGTAACACTTAAAGTTTAGTTATTATTTGTTTAGTTACGTTTTCAGAATCTATTTTGAAAAATAACATATTCTCTGTGTGGTATGTAACACGTGAGATATCACATTTAATTTATCTTATCATCATCAAAATAATTAAGGAATTACCCATTAAAAAAAATTTCCTGGCGGTTTTATTTTGACAAACATTTTTCACTTAACATTCAAGGGCTGCAGTAAAATAAATGAACATGCCACACTGTTAAATACAGCGTTGTAAAAATAGGAACGAAATTGTTTACTATACAGGGTGTTCCTCCCAAGAGGGATTCTTCTGTAACTCTGTAACTGTCAAATTTATAAAAAAAATGGTCTTAATAAAAGTTGTCTGGAATCATGTGGACCAAATGGTTTTTATAAATTTTATAGTTGCAGAGTTACAGAAGAATCCGCCTTAGGCGGAACGCCCTGTATACTTATGTTTCTTTTCCAGACTGGTTGATCTATACAAATGAGGTATTCGTGGGCTTATTCTCGTTGTGCGTGGCTTATTGGGGTAACAGGCTGCACAGAGCGGGTTGGCTTGGAGCTCTAACAATATTTCTTGCAATAGCGTGTGCAACTTTAGCAGTTCCTGAAATTTATAACCCATTAAGCGGAAGTGAAATAGATAGTTCCATTACAGGTATGCAGCACCGGGAGAAAAACAATCAGGAGTGGGATATAATGTCACTTTTAAGCAGATGAAAATACATCGCGCGGGGAATTTAAAAGAGCAACGAAAAACTTAACGTTAAATATTTCAGGTCCGATATTATGCAACTCCAACAGGTCCATGGCGTACAGCGATATCGACAAAGTCGAAAAAGAGGTCGACATAATAACGTTCGCAGTTGTCATTATATTCCAAATGATCCTAGCCATGGCGACTGTATCTTTCATAACGCACGGTATGACGTACATAGACGACCACATATCGCCGAAGCACAGCCCTGGATTCATAGGTAGACCATGTCATAGTGGTTTTAAGTTTATTTTCATTAAGTTTTTTAGGCTTAGCGTTTGGAGCAAACGAAATTGGAAAACAAGTCGGCCTTTACTGCTCTTGGGGTCCCTACGTTATAGATATCGACAGTATTTTCATATCACCAGGTACTTCCTGTGTTAGCTTTGTTCTTATTGCATCAGAAACAGTCGGACGCCATCGCATTTGATTCGAAACAATGAATTTTGAACGACATGTAAGCGTTACATCGGTATGCGCATGCGTCTGGCTGTTGGACTGCTCTAGGAACAAACCTATTATATCTATTTTTATCTCTTTCAGCATGGATCACCCTCCTCGTTCTAACTTTCATAATAGGAATCGCAATAGCCATGTTTCCCAAGGCCCTGCCGAATATCGTAATGATAAAATCCGTCAATTCCCTGTTAAGCTTGGCCTCAGGCAACGACTTGTACGAAGAAGAAGAGGTCGTCGAGGGTAGATAAAACAATACGAGTAAAAATAACGTTTAACTTACTGACATCTCTTTAGGATTCTTCAAAAGTTTGTGGGGTTTGTTGAAGAACAAAGTGTTGTCGCTAACTATATTCTCCGTGGTGTTTGTCCAAGCTGCTCTGATAAACTTCAGCATATTGCAGAAGCAGTTCAACCAGTCCAAGTACCACGTTTCCGTGCACAACGACTCGTCGGGATACAGCGATCCGTTCCTGATCCAATTCACAACGAATCTGCTGAAACAACCAATGGTAGCCATATCAGTAATCACGTCGGGAATGATGATAGCGAAGATCAGACCAAAAGCAAAATACTTGGTTTGGTGGAACATAATAGTGTTTAGTTTGATAGCACTGTTTTTCGCTAGCACGGTGTTTTGGAACTGCGCCGGAAAAATTGAAAACGAGCATAGTAATACCATTACCATACCTTATTGCAGCAGTCATTGTGGGTGTTCTCCCGACGCGCCCTTTCAACCCGTGTGTGTTGATAAGAGGACGTACTTCTCGCCTTGCCTGGCGGGATGCAAGAATTATTCTGCGCTACAAAGTGTAATGCAAACACTTATTGGTTTATATTTAGTTTACAGTCATCTGTTTTAGGTTTATACGAACTGCAGTTGTGGCCAAACTGTTACGGACGGTTCTTGTTATACAGACAACTGTAGCATAATCCTGGCCCTGTCTCAAGCAAACAGCATTATATCTGCCGGACTACTAGCGACTACGGTCGTTTCAAACATCGTCATAATGCTCAGGTGTGTTCCTACCAAACAAAAAGCGTTTGCTCTTGGTTTGGCGTACACATACTTTGGAATTATACCATACCTTCCATTGAGATTCTCCTACCGCGCTATAGCAGGTAAGTCTTACTTTCTAGCAGCTTATTTCTAGCTAAAGAATTTTTTTTTCAGATACGTTTTGTGAGATTCATGGAAGCAAAGGGTGCCAGTTCTTTTCGGAATACTTCCCGATATTTCTATCATCGATAACAATTTCCCTGATCTTGCTCGCGGTGGTTTTTGCTGTAATACTTTTGTTTTTCGTGGGAAAACTAGAACTGTACGATGATAAAGACTTCAAAAGTACGACAGACATGCAGCTGGAAAGGATTAGAAGAAATAGAAGGACGCAAAACAATGAGGAGGATAACACTGATTTAGATAGTGGTGGTGAGGATTCGCAGAGGTTTCTGAGAAATGACAGACAAATGAGTGAAGGTAGAATAAACTTGCCACGTCCTAGATCCAAAGAAGATAGAATAAGTACGTATTTAAGCGAAGGTGACTTGGTCCCACCTCTGAAGCCAATTCATAAGCGAAGCGACGTTTCCACCTCAAAAAATTCCACCAACTCTGGCTTGTCATCGGATTCCTTGAAGGCTATAGCAAGCGTTGTGGGAGATGATCATGATTCCGATTCATTTTCAAATACATCCAGAACAAACGCGCCTAATCGTCGGAATGTAACACCTAGTGGAAACGATATAGTCGAGACAAGCTTTTAAATTTATATACATACTGGTATTTTATTTACATCTAATCTATATAACATAAAGTAAATAATATCAGCTGGACTCCGCTTCTTCTCCCAATTCGATTTCCTCGTCGAATATTTTCAGTTCTTTAACGCAGTACCACACGCCAGCGTCGAAGAGGGTACCGATCAAAACAAACGTTGCTGCCGTGTAGTTCATGGTGTACCTCAAGGTTTCTCCGTTGTATAACCAGCAGTTACCATTTCCAGTGCAAGTCTTCCCCCACACCAAGCAAGCTTTGTCTAGAAAAGAACGGCAGTTTTTATTTGGTTCAAAAGAGCTCTCTATTCTTACCTAATATGATGCCAAATAGGATAGGAGAGGGAACAAAAGCACAGAGGCTCATCAGCGTTAATCCGAAGCCTATGGCTACGGTTTTGTCTTTTTCTTCTACGCACCTACAGACAATACAACTTATGTATTAGATTGAACAGTATTAAGGGTTTATTTACTTTTTATTTATTTTAAATTCATCGTTAATAAAATTTTATATTATTACTGGTTTTTCTTTCTTTAAAGTAGAGTTACAGCTGCAGCACTTACCTGACCGTGACCAAGAAATTGGAGGCTCTTCCAGTAGCGCCACTAAACTTCAAAAGACAAACGACGACTAGGAATATGTAGAACTGGTTCAAGCAATCGACTTGGCAGCTGCCCGATTGCGCTGTGCCTCCCTCCAAAGGTGGTGGTTGTAAAACGGTTTGTCCTTCAGAGTGGAACTGTCTGTTGCTGATACAGGAGCAGTCGGAGAATACGCTTGTATCGTTGATATTCTTCACAGTTCTGCAACCAGCATGGCAAGCGGATATGAAAGTGGTTCTCCCGTCTTGGGAGCAAACCGGGTTGTATTTTACGTAGTCGCAATGGCAGCGGGAGTTGCATTCAGACACCGGATTCATTCTGAAAATCAATTTGCCTTTATTTTGAAGGAGTTTTATTGTGTAACTTACTCTCCATTCGGTAGCAGTGGTGCCCTGTTGTCATTTTCAGTACACCCCAAGTAGGCGTAGGAAATGATTCCCATCACCGATATTGCTCCAACTAGTACATTCCAAGCTGCCATGTATCTAGCTCTAGGTTTATATTTTGAGATGATAAGTCCAGATAGCAAGATTCCTATTGCAGAAAAGACCAATCCAGCGCTCCCTGTGATTAGACTTGAAGCCGAAGCGGACTGCCTGTATTGAGTTTCGATGTACTTTGGTAGAAATATCCAGTAAGGCATATAGCCCAGGAAGTAGAACACTGCAGCAAAGTTGTTCAGCATCAGCGTTGGGTTCTGAATGATTCTTCTGAACGTCTTGACCATATCTAAAAGAAATCGGCAATTATGTAAGAGTTTGAGAAGAAAATAAACTATTTTAACTACCTTTGAAAGACGTTGGCAACTCAGGATCAGGTTCCATTTTGGTTGAAGACACTTTGGAGGCTTGGCGTTTCAACAGTTCTTTCCTCACTGCCGCTCTAGGTAAGGTCTTGGGAAAAAGGGCTAATAGTGTAGAAAAAATGAAAAGTACGAACCCTAAGATGATCCAGCCTAACCACCAAGCGCCTAACCATCGCGGATCTCGATTGCCTATGGTCGGTGTCAGAGTGGGATTTATGTACAGCTTGAGACAAACGGAAGCAAGGCCGTAACCTAGAGCAGGTCCCAGCATCCGAATGAAGCAAGAAAAACCTAAAATTTACGATTTTTAATACACTAATGCAAAAAATTAAAGAATTTTCGAAATTTTTCCGTGATTTTTGACAGACTGTATTTAGGTGAAAAATGGTCGTATCGAGAATTAAAAAAAAAGCATTTTGAAGCTCTAAGATTCTAGTTTTTAGTTCTTTCAGTTGAAATTTTTTAGGAGCTACGTTTATCATGCCATTCTAAGAAATAGCGCTCAAAAACCGTTACCCTTTAATTTTTTTCAAAAGTTTGACTGTTTGAAACAAATAAACGGTTTCCTAGATCGAGATGAAACTTCACAGGGTTCTTCTGGGTATATCGAACTGTAAAAGTCATGGTTAATATTAGTGAATTCGTGAATATTTCTATTTTAGACGTCGTTTTCTAAAAAAACATAAATTACCCTTTATTTCCTGTTTTTTTAAATTCCTGTAAAAGTTGAAAACTATTTTTTTTTTCTGAAAAGTTGCGGCAGCATGTTTTAGGAAGTTTATTCCAGTTTTCAAAACTGCCCTTCAATTCTCTGTACGACCATTTGTCGCAGAGATATCGATGATTGAAGACAAAAGGATCCTTTTCCATTAAAAGTCCGATATTTTGATGAAAAATGGTCGTATCGAAATTAAAAAAAAGGAAATTGAAGCTGAATAAACAAGCTATTTGGTCCATGCAATGGCTTAGCTGAAAAAATTTTTTCCAAGTCTGTGGAGTCAGAAAAAAAAGTTTCGAAAGATCAGTAAAAATATAAATCGAAAGGAGAGTAAAAAAGTTAAATCGAAAGGGCAGTAAAAAAGAAGCGAAATAACTTTCTAGAATTTTCCAACATAGCTTCACTTTCTTGGAATTAACCGCATTCGACACCCGACGTAGAAAGCGTAGCAGATTGCAGTGCAATGTGTATACTGTGTTCGTGGACTCAGAAAAAATAAATTGTAAAATTTTTTTGTCGCGCTCTTAGAATTGCATGATAACCGTAGTTCTTAAAAAATTTCGACCGAAAAATCTAAAAACTCGAATCTTAGAGCTTCAAAATGCTTTTTCTTAATTCTCGATACGACCATTTTTCACCTAAATACAGTCTGTCAAAAATCACGGAAAAATTTTGGAAATTCTTTTGGCCTTTTAATTTTTTGCATTATTTATTATGTTAAAAAGATTTGATGGACTTACTGAAAAGCGCTGGTGTTTTCGACTTCTTGATATTATCGTCCATGTAAGATACCCCAAGGGTGTAGTAAAGAGACCCTCCTATACCAGAAATGAACTGTGCAGCGAATAATATCAGCTGTGGGGAGTAATTCCCTCCCTCCATTTCGCATTCCGACGTCGTGGAATTTTTACCGTGACATAGAAACTTGCTCTGTTGTTTCAGATGTGCTTCTTCTGAAGCGTTGTCGTTCGTCCTGTGTTCTAGGGTCAGTGAAAGGGCATCTGCGCCTGCGCCGTAAAGGAAATGAGGCAGAGCTGTCAAAAGACAGAATAGCACTACGGTGTACATCCCCAGTGCCATCCATCTGGGCCTGTGACCTCTTCCCGCGTAGTAGCTTAGTATAACCGAGACGAGCAGTTGACTCAAATCATTGCCCACTGAGATTACACCTGAAAAAATTCAATAAAAATGAGACATCCTAGATTATTTCAACTACGAGTTGCCGAGTACTTGTTGTACTTGATTTGTGTAAAAAATAATACAAAAGTGCAGTAAAAATATGTTCTCAACTACACCGTATAGTAAATAAAATATCCCTCTTATTTCTCCCTTTCGCAGTTGTCATATGAATGATTAATAGACGGTGCCTATAATAAATTAAAATTACCCGAATCACACTAAATTCCGCATTGCTGCACTGCACTGCTTGGCAATTTGTCAACCATTTGTCAACAACTGAGATTTATTGCCCAGTCGCCCAGTGCAGCTGTGTTATACGCCGTTTGCTCCCACTAGCATTATTCGATATGAGTATGGCTAAATAAATGTGGGAAGAAGTTTTTCAAATATTTAAATGCGGAGTTGCTGCGTTAGCGACCGAACCTGGTACATACTGCCAACCTCTTGGTTCTTCAATTGAGATCGGAAAGACTATACAAGAGAAAGGCTTACTGCTGTAACGTTTAATTTTGGGATGTCGAAATTGTCAAGTAAATTCTGTTTGATACTGTATTATTATTATTTTCAAGTAGTAGGAATTGAATGGAAAATATGTAATAATCTTCATGCATGTTCAATCATTGACCCTTAGAGTCTCAATGACTTGCTTATAGTAGATGTTTACCACCCTCATATCGTACAGACTATGGGTGCAGAAAGTTCTTCATTATCAATGGATTCTAGTCTTCATATATTTACCATTACCAAATATAAATATTTAGTAAATCACTTTGCTCCTATATATAGAAAATTTCTTAGAAATCAGTCCTACTGATGACGGTATTGTCCAAAATTATTGTCAGTTTTGAACGAAATTAAACAAGCGATCCGCTACACATAAGCATCAATCAATGAGGGTTTATTTTTTTATATACATATTTATCGGATAAGGAAAGTGATTTATTTAATATTACGTATGATATTTTCAATGAAATATATTTACGTCCTTATGAAATACAAACAATAAAATTAAAATTTAAAATTGATTGCTTAATTGAGTATAAGATAGTTGTTTTGCAAGAATGCGATTTAAAGAAAATTATCAGTTTTCGTTTTTGTGCTATTAAATCAAAATATACTATTTGCATACAGTCGCTGTGTCGTCATTATAAAAGTAACTTGTATGGTTACGGCTTTTTGAAAGTTATGAATGGCCTATTTATAGTAACTATAAATAATTTACGCAAATAAGAAGACTAAAAAAACTATTAAGATAACGTGCAATAAATTAAAATATTTTCTGTGATACTGATAATGAGCAAATAGGAATTCTTTGTTTCATTCATAAAATCTTTAGAAAACAACTAAATTCCATGCAAGATGTTGCGCAGTTACAGGAAAGAAATTCGAAAGATGCGGACATTTTAGCCTTACGTCCACAATTTTCTATTCTGATATTTTATTTATATTTCTCACAATTCACATTTTTATTAAAGAAAAACTTTGTCGAGTAGCCTGCTTATATAAATATAAATTGAGGATTTAGACAATGACTGTGACATATTAATTTATTTGCACTGAACAAATAGTGAAAATATACGTGTTAAACAGGGCTTATATCTATAAACATTGAAAATAATGAGACGAAATATTTATGTTATTTGCGAAGTAAATCGTTTTTTAAATATGCAAAAATGCCTGATAATCGTCTATCTCTATCTGGCGTCTATTTTTTTTTCTAAAAATTATATCCACGCTGTAACAAAAAGTATGGTAAAATTCCTCGAACTTTTTCCATGGGTAAAAAAAAACTCAAGTAAAATTCATGTATAATCAGTATATATTTTAAAGGTTTTATTTAATATTACTTGAACATTTCGAGGAATTTTACTATACTTTTTATTACAGTGCAAAGAAAAGGTTTTAATTTTTTTTTTTCTTTATTTTCAGGTGGCAATTAGACATTTGGACGCTGCAGATGCCGAATTTCACAGGCGTGATTTACAAGGTACAATATAAGTAATTATAATTAATTATTATGAACTGATTGATTTGATATACAGGGTGTCCCAGAGTACGTGGGCAATCTCTCGACTTTATACAAGAGACGTTAAAATAACATGATATGTTCCTATAAAAATTTTCCCTAGAGAGCCCCCCCCCCTACGGATATACAGGCCCCCTAAAGGACGCCCCTGAAAATCGATTTTTTATTTTGTGTAATTTTTTTTAGATAGACACAGAAAGAATGCAAATTTCATCGGTTTATTTCTCTTTATGGATGTAATAAAAATCATATTAAACAAAAACAGTTTTTTCTCGAAAACCAAGAGTGCCTTTTTTTAGTTGAAGGTTCAAGCTGCCTAAAAATATCATTTTTGTGCCTTTATTGTAAAGGGTGAAAAAAATTAACAATTAAGCCAAATTGTTTTCATGGGTCAATTTTTAAGGGTTCTTATCTGTTGTCCATCGTATTAAAAAATAATTAAATTACACAAAGTATTTTAAGTTATTAAAAAAAAATCGCTAACCAATACCGATAAAAAATTAAAATCAAGCCTTGACAACTGAAAATAAATTTCGGACTATCTGTGATCCAATAGACTTTTTAAGCTGCATGTATCAAAAAGAGAAACGAATTAAATCGGCCCATAAGCACCGTTTTCAGTGTAGTTTTAGCAAATTATTAATTAATTTCTGTCTTTGTGGAAAATTTCCTGACGCTTGCTAAGAAAATGGCATCGCCCTATTACTAACCTGTGGTGCGGCTGGGTATCTTGAACCTTTTTTCCAGTGTGGTAATGGTTCCATTAAAATACGCGTAAGCAGCCGAAAAGACGCAGCCTAACAGGCCGTACAGGAAGACGTACGCCTTCTTGTTGGCAAATTTTTGCAGACAGGACCCTTTCATGAACCACACGCCACACGACGTGTCCTCGGTCAGCAGGATTTCGTCGACGAAAGTCGATTGACTGTTCACATCCGGTAAAATGACGTCAACTTCCGGCGCGATGTTGTTTATTTTAGGTAACAACGTTTCGATCAGTTGCAACCTCTCTTTCTGGTTGTTCACGTGATTGGTTTCCATGTCGGGATGGGGTAGTTTTACTTAGAAGACATTTCCTTTTTCTCGGCGTCAACGCGATATCTGTAACGACAGATAATTTATTCATAGAAATTTTTTGAGGTGCTCGCTGCAACGTGTTGATTTACACTGAGCGTGTGACGTTTTTCTTTGAAAAAGAACCCGTGTGGAGTTAAATTAAAAATACATATAAATATTAAAGATAAGGTAAAGCTAACACGTAGTAAGCTTACGTAAATTAAAACAAATGAAAGTACTAACCTTAGAATTATTACCGCTTGGCAAACGAGCTCAGGAACATTGTTTTATTTACCACACAAATTTAACAGAGCAATGCTGGAGTTAGTGTCTGTTAGTCTAGTTTAAGATCTATTCATTGTAGTCAATCATCTAACCAAAGTTTGTTGATGCTTCGCATATCTCCTACCCAGAAATGGGACCACTATTATCCAATTGGCCAGCTACTACACATTTCGTGTAGACTCATTTACAACATCAGCGTCTTTAATGTCCATGCGAATTGCGTCCTCTCGACTTGCTTTTCCATTTCCATAAAATCGCTCAGGTATTTTCCCTATTTTCGTACATTATGTGCGACGCGAGCCAATTTTTAATTTGTGTCAATATTAGATTACATTTATAATAATTGCACTATAAAAAAAATTATGTATGATAAAAATGTAAATTAAATAATATTTATACAGGGTTCTATGAATTATGTCAAACTTATGATGAAGGTCAAATTCAAGGTGATCACCTAATTTGTCACTCAAAAGCCTACAAATTTTTTTGAGGTCACTAAAAAATTGTGAGTCCGTCGTCGAAAATGAAAAATGACAGCAGGAATAATCACTTGACCTCTACACGACCTTAACCATTGCCCTTAAGGTCAAGTTTAAGATCATAATAACATGTAGAATTCTACGCTCTCTTATTTCTAGCGTCGAAATAAGGGGTCGCTACTTCAAAAACCGATATGACCTTGACTTGTTCTTTTGACCTTGACCTCAAGATCAAGGTCATTACAGAGTACCTTCAGGTATCTACCCAGACTGTCAAAATAAAAAATTACATTAAAAATCAACATTTGACCTTGAACTGACCTTGACCATTGACCTCGAGGTCACGGTCAATGTCACGTCCGGGTGCAGAATTTTCTGCCCTTTCTATTTCCGGGGTCGAAAAAGAGGTTCGCTATTAAAAAAAATCGACTTTATCTTGATATGACCTTGAACCTTGACCTTTACTTTGCCGCCGAGATTTTTTGCGGTTTCCATATTAACCCTGTAGAATAACACCATATTAGATTTCCAATAAAGAATTACACGTATTATTAGTAGCCTGTAACACCTCAAGGTTTTACACTTGGTTTACGTTAAATTGTGAGAGAAAAATAGGTGTGGAAAATCAAGACGTGAAACTTCGGGGATGTGACGGATTACCTCCCATTACCCGACATTAAAATGGCAATTTAGCGCCTGAAATGGAAGTTCAGCGGTGAGCCAACTAAGAATTGGGAAAATATTAAGTGTCCGCCGACCCTCTAAGTTGGATATAACCGCGAATCTTCATTTACTTAACACTCCTTCACCGAAGGAGTTCACCTTCCTTAACGAACGTGTAATTTTTCATTACGTGCCGGGATCAGGAGTGGAAACGTGATCAGATTTCGGACTCGCCGATATGCCTAGAGACGGCCAGGCTACGAGGTGGGCACAGGACCGTTCCTGCGCTCCTGACCGTCTTCAACCGGATCCGGCGGCCGCGCCCTGAAGGAATGTAGGCGCTACTATGGTCCTCCCTTTCTGTCCGCGTTTTTTCAGTCTTCGAATTTTAAAAAATTTGTATTAGATTTGCAACATCGGACTCTCTTTTCTGAACTTTTTCCTTAGAAAATACTGAATTGGATGTATTTATTTAGTTTTTAACGGTTTTCTAGTGGAAAGTTACATACCAGTCTATTGGCCACAACGTTCTTGTAAAATTATTCTTGAAATTCATTTTAAATTTAATTTATGTAAATTCACCAACAAAAATAAATTATTTAATTTGCGAATTATTTAAAATGTAAATTTATAATTTAAAATTGTCAGGTCTTTCCCGAATCTATGAAAATTACATTTTAATGTAATATTACAGTATACTACATTTGTAATGTACATAAATCATTGTAAATTATTTTTAAATTTATAGAAAACATGTAAACTAACCGCTTTAGCTAAAACTTTAAATATTTTATGTAAAATTACATTATACGCGTAACTTTTCACTTTTAAATTTTTGTACATGATTTGACATATTTTACATGAAAATATATGTCATAATTGTCTCAGATTCACGGTTCGCTGTAAATTTACAATAAAGTTTATGTAAAATTACACATTGCAATATTGGCGAGTTTGATTATATCGAGCATGTTTTATCTCTTGTACAAGCCACATAAAATGTAAATTTACATAAAAAAATGTGTCGAGGCAAGTATTTCACTGTAAATTCTCATTTGCCGCAAGATTACTTTAAAATCGCGATTTTACACTTTTTTCTATTTTACAAATTATTTAAAATGCAGTCTTTCCCGAATCTATGAATATTACATATTAATGTAAAATTACAGTATACTACATTTGTAATGTACATACATTTTTGTAAATTATTTTTAAATTTATAGAAAACATGTAATCTAACCGGTTAAGCTAACACTTTAAAAATTTTATGTAAAATTACATTACACGTAACTTTTAATTTTTTAATTTTTGTACATGATTTGACATATTTTACATGAAAATATATGTCATAATTGTCTCAGATTCACGGTTAGCTGTACATTTACAATAAAGTTTATGTAAAATTACACATTGAAATATTGTTGAGTTTGATTATATCGAGCATGTAATTTTTATCACTTGCACAAGCCATATAAAATGTAAATTTACATTTTACAAATGTGTTGAGGCAACTTATTTCACTATGAATTTTCACTTGCATACACATTTACATCAGAAATAGTAAAAACACAGAACAGACTACATTTTAAAATATAATAGTGCACCAAAAATATGAAATAGTATACTCAAAAGCTTATTGTTTGAGTATACTTTAGTTACACTTTTTTCGCGCAAATATAAAATTTAGTATGTAACTTTCCATAATTTTTAGCAGTCTACAGAGTGGTTCCAAATTCAGTACAGTGGCAGAGGTACTTTGTCGGGGAATGAAGAAAGGTAGGATGTGATTTAAGGAAGACACTGAGAGAATTATTAGAAAGTTTAGTGAAATATTTTGGAAACGGTCCTGATCGTACGTCCTCGGGCAAGCCAGGAGGTGGGCAAGGGCAAGTGCAACCCCCGACCATTATTTAACCCCCTTTCAGCCCATTATAATTTTTAAGCCCCCAATCTTTACCATTATACATTTAGCTTTAGTCTAGAATCGCAATTTTTACCGCGATGGCACGTCTTAGCAGGCTCAATGCCCGAGCAAATGCTTAAATCAACACGAAAAATAAGTTATTCAAATTAAAAATGTAATTTCAGCGTGCAGCGAAGTTATTACATTTTAATCCTCGACCCCTGATACTCCGCCTAAATGCGAGACTGTTAAAAATATTAAGCAACCGGAACAAATCGACAGCCCGGGCAACGGGATGCCTTCTGAATACATTAGACGATCAAGGAAAGAGTTGGTGGATCCCAGTTGGAAGAATTACACAACCATTATACGAGGATTAAAGCGAAATCACGAGCGCGACCTAACCATCCTTAGCTACGGCAGCGGCATTGTCTCGGACCGACTCGTTTGGAAAAACGAATAAATATCACCGAGATACCGAGATACTTCTGCTTCTGCTTCTGCCACGCCGACTAATACCGCGCGATGTGCCGTAAGACTATTAAAACTCTAAACGCAATGCGAACCGAGCTTTCATTATTTGTAATCTAACGGGACTTATGGAAAAAGTTTCCATTTATTTTTAATTCCCTACATTCCACCCTTTTATTGAAAGCTGGGGAGTGCGTCTTACCTTGGTTCTGCCGTAAACCTCGCCGCAACGAATTTACGGCTTTTTAAGTGCGTCAAACCGTACAAATTTTAAGTAACCCCATTATATTTCATTTAAAAACGTCTATTATATCGGCCCACCTTAATCAACCGAATTAAAACGAATATTGAATACACAATTTTACCAATAAAAACCGACACGGGCTTTAAACTCTTTCTTCCTCCGCCGTATTAAAACATTTAATTAATAAAGTCCTACCCAACTAAAATAAAGAAAATTAATTAACCGACGTTTTCATATTTCCTCGATGGCAACAAAAAGTTTATACAAATGGTGACCAAAAATGAAACCTCGGTTTCTTTGGTGAATTTTAAGGCAGGTCTTTCCTATAAAGTTTTTATCTAGGACGCTTCCTTAAAAAGATACAGGGTGTTCAACTTCAAAAAATATTTTTAATTTTTTTAAATAGTTTAAAAACTAGTAAGTGAAATAATTTGAAATTGGGCACACGTATTTATCTAAACATTGTCCAAAATCTGAAGGCTTTTCCTAAAATTTACATGCTCCAGTGGCGTAGATAGAGGATATCGGTAGCATATTTTTCTGAATAAAATAGTACACCACTGCTTTGCGGTAACAACTATGATATTTTCGGATTCGTCTTTCAATTTTCCACAAATTACTACTCTCTTATGTTTTTCGAAAAAAGCCTGATTTTCGGGTAAAACTTAAAAAACCAACTGAAAACACTTTAGACAAGGGCGGATCTGTTTTAAGGTGGATGTGAGAGGGGGCAAGCAAATTTTTTTCTGGATTACCTTCAGTACAACTCACATAACAAAATATAGATCCCTAGATCTGCGCGAGGTCCGGAACATTTTCAAAATTGCAAAAATGTTTAAAAAATTTTAAAAAATACCTATTTTATCTGAGTTTTTTACTTATATCTTGGAACTTATGCATTTTGGAAGAATATTGAAGAGGGAAAAAGTTTTAGAATTGAATTTTACATAATATACTGGAAGTTAAAAATGTTTAAATTTATTACCCATGTTACAAAATAGCAATAATTGATGGAAAAAAGGCAAAATAATCAAGTTTATTTTGGATAATTTTTAAAATATTTTAATTGCTCCAAGGGCATTCTAATTTTGGTAAAAAAACAACACACCAAATTTCATTAAAATCGGTTCGATAGTATTCGCAAAATAATTTTTTGAAAAAAATTTTGAAAAATATCAATATCAATATTTTTTACTTATAAGCATTTTTCTAATATAATTAATTTTTGGGAACATTGACCAATGCGCAATTTGTTAAATTCCATGCTTATCAAAGCGACAGAAATAACAAAAAAAAATAGCAAT